GTGAGCGGTAGGTGAAGGGACCGCCTTGTGAGGGGTAGGTGAAGGGACCGCCTTGTGAGGGGTAGGTGAAGGGACCGCCTTGTGAGGGGTAGGTGAAGGGACCGCCTTGTGAGGGGTAGGTGAAGGGACCGCCTTGTGAGGGGTAGGACCACCTTGTGAGTGGTAGGTGAAGGGACCACCTTGTACACTGCAGATGGCAGTGTAACTCATTGAGGTGTGATAGTCATCCTGTGCTAGGTTCTTGCCAGCCTTATGGAGGACTGCCCTTCTCGGCTTGCCTCCCAGGGCACTTTCCCAGAGTACCTTCCATTCAAGGTGTCTGACTGGGCCCAACACGGTCTACCCTGAGATTACTTGATGAGAAAGAACTACTAATGAATATTAGTAAAAGCGTTGACATTCCCACACTTGCACAGATAGATATTTAATATTTATAGAACTGTGCTGTGCAATCTGAGATGAGACCTAGACTAATTGAGGCTCAAGATGGCCGGTGGTATTCCATAGGAATACTGAACAGGAAGTCTGCTGTACACTGAAAAGTTACTCTCCACTCTACACGTTCAGTAATGAATAGTTCCTTGAAACTGTTGCATATTTATCTGTGAATTAATTAAATTCTAAGTGTTGACAACTTTTTTTGAGGTTTTTAGCCAGAAGTGTGGAAGAGTTACTCTGCCAGGTTTTTCTCTGCTGTCTTTGTCAACAATCGGAAGATTTCCCCCTCGCTTCCGGTTTGTGGTAACTGCTGCCACTTAAAATAGGAAGTAAGGTAAAAATCTCCCCTATCCAGACGGCAATAAACAGAGGTTCTAACCTTTCATTATACTAAACAAAAACATATAAAAACACTTTGGCATCTCTTAAAAGCTTTCATACAAACCATATTGTTTTTGGTGAATCTTGGCAATTTTGTTTTGAATATGTACCAAATCCAAGACAATCTGGGCCTTGTTTATAAACCTGTCGTCCTCTATTCTGGGATAGTAAGTAGAATCATTTTGCAATTTGCAGCAATTGTTTCTTTCTTAGTTATAAATTCACACATCGATCGTATTGGTTTTTGGTAAGATGATTAAAAAAAAAAAAATGCATGATAACCCCATTTCAATTTCAACGTTATCATTTTTCTTGGGAAAGACCCAATACGATACGATATAGGAATAATGCACTAGTTTTTGTTACAATAACAAGCAATATTTAAAGGGCCTGATGTGGTTGGAACAGCCTTAAAGTGACCACACATTGGAAGGATATGCCAAATCCTAATCATTGGGCAAAACCTTTAAAAATGGTTTGGCCTTTTTGTAGGTGTTTAAAAAAAAAAAAAAGTCTCGAGTGCCACTAATGGGAATAAACCATAGGGGCTCCTTGTTCAGTTACAATTTGTGATTGGATATCCAATTCCTGGCTGTGGGCAATGGATTTTCTACTGTCCAGATATGACCGTTTCATTTTTTTTTGCTCCCAATTATTTTTTTTCCCTCCTTTCTGCGTTTCTCCTGACTGCTTTTGAAGAAAATCTTTTGTGGGTTCACTTGACTGCAACTGCCAGTAATGCACAGCACAGCTCGAAGCAGCCAAAGCTTCCTACAGACCTCCAATGGTGCTCTGTAGTGGTGATCCAGTCTGGGCAGCAAACTATCTTTCACAGGAAAGATGTTTCCAAAAACGCGGCTCGGTCCATGGAGGACCAAGTGGACCACAAATGTGAATATGTAACTTTTTTTTTTTTTTTTTTTAATGCTTGCCACTGTCCACAGAACCCGGAAAAAAAAATGTTGAATTACCAAAAAAAAATAAAAATTTGGGAGGTCATTGTACGATGTATATGGCTTATCTCTGGATAAGGGAGTGATGACCACAATTGTGAATCCGTAACTTTTTTTTTTTTGCTTGCCACTGTCTAGAGTACCAGGGAAAATACATTTTTAGAATTGCCTAAAATGTTTTCTGAAAATATTGGAGGTTATTTTAAGATGTACAATGGTGTATATGTTCAGATAGTAGCGATCTGCTCTGGCGCCCAATGCAGTGGCACTTTAACATAAGTCAATCAATAAAAATTGGGACCAGTCGTAGCAAAAATTATTGCTGGCCAATGCTTGGTCACCTGAAGGCTGTTGATTCCATGGCTGTGTTGGTTAACACTGGAATGTTTACTTTGAACCTCTTTTGACTGCTGGAAGAATAGAACTGATTTCAGCAATAAAGAGGTTGATGTTACTACTGTATAAAGTTGTTGCTCCTTATGAGAATATTACAAGGTACCATGCAATAACTTGTTCTGTCTCCTTTTTTTTTCTTTCTTTGTGTACATTTACGTTGAAGGTGTAAACTTTCTTGTGCCAATAAATGTGCTTTTCTTATTTAAATTTAAAACGTTGTGGTTCCTTTTTTGAAGAAAGTCTTTGGTGGAGTCGAGGTTGAAGAGTGTAGATCTGGTTTATTCTACAGGTTCCTGACCTGTTTTCTCTTTCATTAAAGACCAAATCCATCTACTAGAAGAAAATTCATTTAAATCCCACCCCCAACACACACATTCCTGCCTGCCCGCCCATTTTTTAAATAAATAATGGTATGTACTTTCCTTTAAAAGTTACTGTAGAGTTGGGGGTCGTGCAATGACCTCAGTCTCTGCCACTCATACAAAGAGGCACTTTCTGACCATCGTGAGCCCCATCATGACCGCAATGACCAAGGCGGTGTGTTCATGACTCCCTGTACTTGCACTTCCTGGTTGAATGCCACTGGGAGTAATTTGAACAGGAAATGAGATGGAGGCTGCAAATAAGGACTCGGTGAGGGATGCAATAATTTACATAAGGGTGAAGGTGCCAGGGGCATCTTTAATTGTTGGACCCTGGGCCAACATCTTGGTTCCCTACCTGTCATGCCCCCGCCATGCAATTTCACTCTCTACCCTTGTGCGATCTCCTCCTGCATAGCTGATGGGAGATGTCAGGAAGACGTGACCACATGAGTGAGACGTCACGCTACACTGCATATGGCAGAGGCAGAGCAACACTATGCAATGCCAATCACATGTTGTACATTAGCGTGTGTAGCCTCTTCTGGTTCATGGGGCAGCTGCTCTGGGCCCAGGGCAAGTGCCCCTTTTGCCCCACGTTAAAGACAGCCCTAGAAGGGGCACACCCAAAATTATGTGAAAATGAAAACTAAAGTAAGTGTGGGGGCAGGGTTACGTTCCCCTTTGATCTAGAGGCAATCATAACATTTTGGAATCCACTCTCGCTTTGTTGGGATCAGAACCGAAAGCCAGTGTAATTCTTCAATAGTGACATGTTGGTGTTTCTAATCATTCCCCATTCCATCCAAAACTTTAGGGACCTATGCATCTGTCTTTCTGCAACTCATGTTACATGCATTCAGTTTGAATGACACCCTAATGCACTATGGCAGCACACATGAATTGCAGCGCTCTGCAATGCATTGTAGTTAAAACATTACATTGGGTTAAAAATTTAGTAGCGCGTTCAATTTTTAGCATTTCTTGCTTTGGAAGCCCATTAATTTTAATGGGCTGCTACTGAAATGTAGGAATGCAAATGGACCCTGTGAAACCAGCTGGAGTTCCACTATTTGCACATAAACTGATGGCACAGCCCCACTCCATTTACAGAAAAAAAAAAAATTATCTGTGTGAAAGTGGGGAGGGTGTTCCAGGCTCTAATAGTCATTAAAAAAAATAATCCACTTTTCCATCGCAGCAGACCATGGCTGAGCAAATTTTGAAGCTTTAATCCATGAACCCATAGGGTCTTTCCCTTGCTGCACTTCATGTGTCAATCATGGTGGAGAAAGCCACTTAGATCTGTGAAAGAGTCAGCTGCCCACGCAGCTTCAGATACAAAGACAAAAATGGGTTACTTCAAGGGCTCATTAACATGAGTGTGCACGCCCATGCAGAGACCTGCTCCTGGGAGGGACAGGTGAAGTGTGTAATCGTGCACAGCCCCCCTGTACCTCCCTATAGGAGGAGGTGGCTACATGCTGAACCTGCACATCCATGCAGGTCCAGGTTTGGGTTGGCATGTAGCCGTATGCTCCCATAGGAAGGTACAGGTGGTGGTGTATGCCTGTGTGAATGAGCCCTAAAGTCCAACTGAGCCTTCAATTTAAATCCGCTAAATACATTCCAGGTGGAACAAAAGAAAAGGCGTTGAAAGTCTTAGGCCTTGTTCACACCAAGCGCGTTCCAAGAGCAGTTACAGACCGGAGCAAAACTGCGTCCAATGTATTCCAATGGTATTTTTAGCTCCAGTTCACACTGCAGCGTTCAGTTCCAGAGCAGGTCCAGAGTAGGTTAAAAAAACTGCAGTAGGCCCTATTGTACCTGCTCTGGACCCGCTCTGGAACGCATGCAAACGCCCTGGAACTCACAAAGCCCATTTTAAACTAAAAACAGCCCAGAACGCATCTAAAAAGGCGGCAAAAACGCGGCACAACCCACTGCACTGCGCGTGCAGAAACTCATGCAGATCTGCATTTGGTGTGAACAAGGCCTAACA